TATTTGTTATAGGTACCTATTTTAATAAGAATTATATTTGCGTGAAGGTTAATAACTCAAAAAGCAATATCAAACTTATATACAAATGAGGAGCCTTTTGCGTATCAAATGATTAAAATTAATTTAAAAATTTGCCCGTCTTATCTTTAATTCAAAGTATACTTACAAACACTGATTTTATACCTAAACGTATATCACAAGAGTACCTTTTCCGTAGACTGTATTCTATCAATGAGGTCATAGACAGAAAGTTTTTATTCTACTATGAAAATAGTACGCACGCACTCGCATAATTATTTTCATAACCATAAAGTAGTCGAAAAACAGCAGCTAACAAGTAGAAAAAAAAATTCAAACGTTTGGAAAAATATATAACTGTATGATTGAGAGTGGTAAATACTGCCAAACACATTTGAACGAAACGCAGCAAGATAATTTTCCGACCGAAAAAATAACCAACAATTTGTAATTTGTGTTGAATCTTTTTCTTATTAAGTGCGCCACAGTTAAATGAAATTTAAAAAAAAAATCACTTATTTCTGTCGTTTTATACTTGCCCTATTGCCGGTTTACAGTCACTCTTCTTTGCCCTACATAGACTTTATTTGGAAACAATTGAACTATGCACAGTAGTTTGCCCTCAAAACACAATTACTTGTTACAATATACATATATATATATATTTTATTGTATTATATCCGTTTCCGTTAAAATTCCGCATGCAATTCGAATGCAACGGAATTTCGCCGTCGCGACCTTTGATGTGGCAGAGATAAGACACCTTCGGTTCAATGTGTTGGCACCGACGTCGTGACGTTATGCGCGATACCCTCACCGACCCGACTAATACTATTGCATACAAGCGTGTAATAATATATATTAGGTAGGCTATAAAATCACAATATTAAAATTATCATAGCCTACAATTCCGGCCAACGTATAATATTATAACAGTTTTTTAAAAACCTCGATATCGATCGTCTATGAATATTTTATTGTTTATAACAGAAAATGGTATATAAATCAAGACTAACGCAAGAAAAAAAACAATAAGTGCGTCATTAAGTTGGGAAATATTATTTTATAGTCGATTCGATTTATTTATGAAACGTGATAGGTTAAAATTTTGTTGAAAACGAATTTTTTTTCAATAAAAATGTACAATACATATACCTAACCTTTTTCGTAAATAATCGATTCGGTTTGTTCAAAAAGAATAATAACTAATGCTATATTGTCACTTTTTTTTTTTTTGGAAGATCTATGTTGTTTCACTAAATACTAGTAATAATTGAAGGTTTTTAGATTAGGTTAACAAAAAAAAAAAAACAATCTCATTTACATTTATCTCACTCAACGCTGAAACTACCAAATCTAATGTCTGTGTAATATTTCAAGCTTTATAAAAAACAGAAAATTTAAACAACAATTTTTTTATTCATTCATATTCCCAATTGAGTTTTTGAAGTCAATATATATTTTATAAACGCAGTGAACGTCTTACTGCGTTTCCAAATTATCCGAACATTTTTTTTCAAAACAAAAATCTAAACGCCCAAGTACGAATTAATAGTGAACTTTATATATTTTACAAAGCAAGACGATTTCGGAAACTGGAGCAAAGTATTATATTTTAATATCGTTTGTGTATGGGTCAGGTGTAAAATATATCCTTGGAACAAATGTGTGCATCGATTACGGTGACCGCGCGCTGTATATGTAAATCACAGTACGATAATAAGTTTGTAATAATTATCTCAAAGGAGACACGACCGACCTATAGACACGGTATTTATAATAATATATTATTATAGTAACCGTAACAGTCCAATCATTAATTATTATCGCGATTCAACGTTTTACTATGTATTATTATTATTATTAATAATATGTTGTACCTACTACAGAAGCAATAGATTTGTTATACATTTTTTTCCCTATAGAACACACATTAGTTGGATATATTATATATATATTTTTTTTTTGTTACAAACAAAACCCGAGTAATCTGTTTTACGATAACGGCGTTCGCCATCAAGCCATCACTTCGCACTTATCTCCCAACATAACGTACATAATATTATTATGTATAATAATGGTGTTATATACCGCGTAATAGTTATATAGGTGTATTTATTTTATACTGTATAAATCTTCAATATTCAAATATAATTGTCAATATTCATTTTGCTAGACGTACGAATACACACGATAACTGACAAACGTCACACGGCACGGCTTAATAATATTATAAAGGTGTTTTGTTGGAAACTTTTGTTTTAGTATGCGATGATAATGTGAATGACGCGCCAAATGAAAACGGCGCCCGCAAGACTGTAATATGTATTATGTGTATACAGTAGATAACGTAGCAGTATATAATATTTTATGTGGAAGGATTAAGAGTCAATGTAATTTTAAGGGCGACGGCACCCCACCCCAATCGGGGATGATCTAATGATTGATGACGAACAAACAACCGAGACACACCGTCGGTGCACTTTCGACCGACCCTTCTCGACCGAGGAAAATGATAATAAAGTGTTACCGTATAATATATGGATAGGAAGCACAATTTGTTTTTTTACCCAGATAAAATACTCAGGTCGACGAACCCCCGCCGAACTTACACCACCGCCGCACTTAGGTGCTGCGATTATCCCGTGTGGTGGTCTGGGCAAAACATTTTCCCAAATGCCTGCAGGACAGAGTTTTTACCGTGCGGTAGGTAAAGGTAGGATCATGGTTTAGTATATAATTGTTATTATCATAATGTACAAAACGCTATCGAGCTCTATCGGCGGATCCCTTTGGTTTTTTTTTTTTGCTTGCAACCCTCGCGTACCATATTTTATTAAAATTGAAAAAAAAAAAAATTCCAAATCGAGATAATTAAAAAACTGTAACACGGGCTGGGACTACCTGATAAACGGACAACGCGTTTACCCACACTGCTGCGCTTGCCGTGATGTTATAATAATGTTATTATTGTATATTATATTACATTATTATGCGAGCCGGTAAAAAAAGCACACGTTTTTTAATACGACCGCGGTAACGACGATACATATATATATATATAGATACCGTTTCGTTTTGTACACGCATAATGTACTTTTAACGGCAATAAAATAAAGTGTACCGTCGTTATTTTTTCCATATAAATCGTTTTATTGCTACGACTTCTATTTGTTTTGTTTTGTTTGTTTTTTTTTTTGTTCGTTTCGCTATTTAGCTTTGAAAATACCAAATACATAAAAAACCAACCCCCAAAGGCGGCCGGGCATCCGTTGTACACATCCGTCACGTCGTTAATTCAAAAATGGTACATTGCTATTATCGTTAGTACCTAATGTGTCTTCTTCGATCGATTATTCGAAAGTTATAAATGTATTGAACAATTATTGCGGAATATTATTTTCTTAGCAAAAAAAAAAAACACATTATTCAGCTATTAGTCAGCTATTAGTCAGCTATTAGTGTTAAGTAAAAAATCACCGAGAACAAATGTATTAAAAATAGCCAACAAATATGTATTGTGATATATATATATAATATTCCATGTAGGTATAGAATAGTGTTAACTGTTATTGTCTAAACACCGTAAGGGACAACTCAAACTATGTGTAAAAAACATAAATTAATTTAGTGTACCTACTAACTTTAGTATTTGAATTTATTTAATCGTGTAAAAACTTTTATTTTCTGAATTTAACTCATTTAACGTTTAATCTATAACTATAAAACTTGATTATGTGTATCAACTGAAGTAAAAATAAACTTTAACTTCTAAATTAATTTATAATTATAGGTATTTCATTAATTATTATTATTATTTTTTTATATAATGTATAAAATAACAGATAACATTCATTAAGCGGATGCGAAAATTGGAAACACTTATAAGGGAACTTAGCTCTTCAAATATTTTAATAGCCTCCTTAAAAAAGTTATTTTTATGTAAAATTAATTAATGGATTTTATTTTGTAGAGAAATAGTATTGCAAAAAGCAAACCGAGTTATATGCACTACTCCCTCTCCCCCCCCCCCACTTTTCTGACATTTTTATCTATATACTTTCGCCTATGACACATTGTATACAATATATTTAACTAATATCGTGCTTTGTCTACAATTACTGTAGTCTGTACGTTATATGGTATTGTAAATTTTACTTGTGACATTTTGGTGTGTAGTTTTTGTGACGAGCGCGCTTGTAATATTATAATATAATATAATAATCGTATTGTCAGCGCATCGTTTATGACGTAGCACCTTTTTTTTTTTTACTTCTATTTTTTATTTATTTTATCTTAATCGTATCCGCCGCCAGTCGACTTCGACCGAGAGTATTTAATACTGAGCAAACAAATATAATATTATGAGCGTTGAAAAAAGAAAAAAATACCTACAAAATTTCTTATTTGAGAAATATACATATTTTGTACTACATATTATCATAACCACAACTACAGCACTATGTTTGCCGAGCGGTATACAAAGACAACGGCAACCGATTGTGTATAATAATAATAATAATAATAATATGCGATACGCGTATATTGCGCACGTTATTAACCATATATAAAATATTAATTACGTACTACAACAAAGCTTCTCAGAAAAATCGATAAGAAATAAATATTCAGTCAATAGTGATATTACAACTGTTTGCCACAAAATAATACGTTAATTGATATCGCTCTAAATGACGGTATCATCGTCACCTGTCATAAGTGGCGGCGGCGGCGGCTATCAAACTTTGAACGCCCACAACTGATAAAAAAAAATGTTAATAACGTGCCTGTAATGTGCTGGTAGAATGCGGTAGACTGTGTGTTTAGTCCTCTCCCGTGAATTGTAAAACCAACAAAAAACCGTAAAGGTATAAATTATATTATTTGGGGCCCCGTGGGTAAAGACGAAACTGGTTGAACTCGAAGATTTTGTTTTTTTTCCCTCGCGGATTTTACTATTAATTCATTATATTTATTATTACCTTCGATGCAGAGCCGATGCAACCACTGGACCAATTTCTTCGAGTCTACAATTTATAGATCAGTCGCTGTACCAGAGACGAAGGCGGAGAAATGCCGGGTTTGCTTGAAGAGCAAGTGGTTAATTCAGTAGAGCCACATTAAATTAAGTACCGAATTTTACAAAACAATTGAGGATTCGAAAAAAAGGTGGTCGGATGAGGTGGAAAGAGACAACAAGAGGTGTTGTTGTGTGACCGAAGAGTGAACTTTTTAAAACTGTACTGACACCTACAGTGATATATGCGAATGTTTCATAGTGCATAAAATATATAAAAGAAACATTTTAATAGTTAAAATAGCATTAAACAAAATATAAGAGAGACAAATATATTGAGATAATTAATTGGTCATGTTGGAAGAAGGGTAAAACGAGTGAGTACGGATAAGTACGGAAAAGATATTAGAGATTGAGGTACTCCAAAGTAGTAGGTGAATGTTGTAAGTTAAGACAGATAGATATTGTGTATAATGAATAAGGTGGAGCGGATAAGAAAGGGTGGCGGATTGGAATTCGTGGAAAGAGAGGGTTCAAGTTTTTCTTAATACACCACGCGTTTACTTTCAGAAAAAGAGTCGAATCGGTTTAAAAGCGGTTTGGAATATTTTGTACATGTAACACTACACATTTAGAGCTAAGACTAGTGGTGATATAGATATCATTCGTCTATCTCTCACATATTAACCTAGAAGGATTTGTCAATAACCTTTTGTTGGATGCAGTAACAGTTTATCAACATAATATTGCCTCTAATTTAGCGATTTTGTTTAATCTTAGAGTGACTGCTCGACCCCACTATTCCCTGCGGTTACTGCTAAGGTGCTGGGTTTTTTCGGCTGTCGCTTATGGAAATTGTACGGTAAAAACAAATGGAAAGAATAAATTAATGAAATAACAGTGTAATTTTTTTTTTATCAACTCGACCACTTATGAAAACGTTAGTATAATAAAACAAACGCAATACCATTGTATACGTTTTAATTATTCATGCCATTTTGGCGGGCTGCACTTGAAAATAGCGAGTCGTTCAACCCTTTAGGCCAATTTGAATGCGGTAGGTACCCGCACACAACAAGTCCTTAACGTTAACAAACACCGCGACGTGCCTTGTCGTTCGAAAAACACATTAAAAGGAAATCCGAAACAATAATAATAATAATAGTTGTTCTGTTTAAAATAATATAACTATTAATACTAAATATCCAATCGTTAACAAGGTACAATAGCGTTACACCGGGAATCGATAACAGCTGTTAATATATTATATTATTTTTATTGTTACGACCCGAAGCCAAGCACGACAGTATAACATTATCGTGTACCTAATAACTGGCAACCACCAGGACATCACAAAACAATGTAAAACGCAGAAAATTAAAACAAGTTGAATTCGCCTCTGCCGGACGATAGGAAAATTCGGAGACAAAAACATATACAATAGATAAATATGTTTATAAGTATATTGCACAGACAGACGCCTCAACAAGTGCTATGGAAACCGTACAAATATATTTTATGACGTCGGGGAGGCACATAAAATCAACACAAGGGATTTGTAAGGTTTTTGTACTATGGCACTATGGCGATCATGACCGTGTAAAACGGCGTCGGGACGTGTATTGTATTAAAGACAAGTAAAATGACATTTTTCTTTTTCCTTTTTTTTTTTTTTCTTTGTTACCATCGAAGCAAAATTAATCAGTATTCAGAGGTTATAGGGGTGGATGTAAACGGCGAGCTTTGCAGGAGGCACACGCCGGTAGAGGCAAGTGGAAAACGCGAGTGATGAATACCAAATGAAGACCCTCCCCTTGTCCAAATTGTTCGTTAACGGTAGCCGCTGTGTTTTTTTATTAATTCAACCGGATATTTATTCTTTTGATTTCCGATAGTGGTGTAAAACAATAGCGGACCCGCGTTTATAGACTCCACATCGCGGTCGGTACAGTGTTAAATTAATACACCCGTTATTGTTCGAATTAAATTAAATTAAAATAACTAAAAAAAATCCGTACCGATCAAATATATTTATATTTTAGGAGTTTATTGTATTCGACATATTACAGGCGTACTAGCTGTATAATAGATGATGTGGGAAATAGCGTACCCACTTTGACTAATGAAATAACATTCTCCACTCCTTGATTTTCTAACATCCAATCATTTGGCCATCTTTATCGGACATTTTCGATATCTTCGATCCAGCAAGAGCGCCCACGGTTTTTTTTTATAACGTGCATTGGCACAAATAGAAAGAGAAACATTTGACAACCTTTAAAAACTCTTCCGGGCTTCTACAACATTTTAGTAAGCTAACTAACGTAGGATTTTTACTTAATTTTTGTGGAGCTTGTAGTACTTCTCATAGGTCTAAACACCTCAAGCTGGGAAGGGGTCTTATTTCTGCTATACATAGCTAGTTTATCTATTAGATTATAATGTATAATCGATTTTTATGTCAAATAATTTAGTGAAATATTATTTCAAAATATTGTTCGGTCATATTTTAAACGTATTCGAAAACGTTGTTACTAAATATTTAAAAAATACAAATAAATGCTCGTGTTGTGTGGGTAGATAACCTGACACTTGACAACTGCCCCTGTTGACCTCCCTTTCTACGGACGCCTTTTGAATAGAGTGTAATCTAGTTGTATGATATAGTGCAGGTGAATCGCTTATGTTACATAATCATGGAAACAAAATGTACTGCGGTATCGAAAAGCACTCGGGTGGTTTAATGATTATTATCGAACAAAATTGACGTTACCGGTAGTTTAATGTATTTTAGCCATTTCCGATCGACTGATGGACAAGTATGATTTTTTTTTTTTTTTAGTTTTTTTTTATTGGTAGGCAACATAGTTTTTCGGTCAAAATTATCTGTTGAACGCACACACGACACAATACAACACAAATAACCAACGGGCGGTCGTTAAGCAATTTAAATTGTCTGTCGAAAAGTAATTATTAAACGACCGTGCTTAACATTTAAATTGTTTGCGACCAGCCCCGGAATACGTACATGTATATACACTAATAAGGTAATGGTAATACGTTTTGTTATTATGTATAACAATATAATATATAGGTATACAGAGTAATGTGCCCGGATTAAGGCCCACGGTGGACTCTAGGTCCGGAAAGTTAATACGGCAGACCCGTGTCGTTGAATATTTACATACAAAACCGTGGGGTCAAACTCAAGATGATGGGCATTAATCCGGGGACACGCTCAATGTAAAAAAAAATATATATCAGAGTTGGCAAAAAATTCCTGGCGGTTTTTTACTGTTCAACCCCGGCGGGAAATAATAATTAGTAATTAACCAAAAATATGAGATTTCACTGGAATTAAAATCCGAGCAGGTTTTTTTGCCAACTCCGAAATAATATGAAAAATAAAATAATGCACAAACCAATTTATAATATCAACAACAAAAATCCCAATTCGTCAGCGACACAATATTTTAGGAGACAGTATCAAAAAAAAAAAAAAATGACTAAGTAATATTATTATTATTATCGAGACGGTTGGACAGACAGACACAATATGTACGCATAATTTTAACTATGGAAAATGGGCAATAATAAATATGATAAGAAGACACCACACCGCAAACGTGAAGAGTCGCCGATTTGCAAACAAAAACAGAAAAATTATCATACAACTTGGACGGTATAAAACTAGAAATTTTTTTTTATCTTTTTTTTAACGTTACAATCCGATACGGATATTCGGTTACGCGAACAACCCGTTTCTCTTAGACGGGGGTGGGGGGGGGGTTTATTATTATTATTGTATTTGAATTTTTTTTTTACACGCACAGACTCGCGCCTAAACTCGACCGGAGAGTAACGCGGAGACGACGGCGGACTGTCGGGCGCGATGCGGCGGCATTCGACTGGTCCGGCCACGAGTAACGGCGACGACTTGTGGAACCGCAACGCAACCCCTGGACGGTCGGCCACGGTCGGCTGTCGTCGCCGCCGACGGTATCTTATCGTCGGCCGGCTGCTGGAGGGTTGAGTACGGTTACTTTTTTTGTCACGATAACGTTTTTTTTTTTTTAACGATGTACAGAAAACGTACATAATATCATATTATTATTATTATTATTCTGTTGCCGTTTGTTTGTTGTCATCACTTTTTTTTTTTTTTTACCATGACAAGTGCGATATAGGTCGCCGACCCCGAAAGCCGTTCCACCTCGACCACAGGCGACGTTCGATAACGAAATATGACAATTTCACGTTATAATAATGACTATAATATTATACATCGCATCAGACCAATAGAAGGGATCCTCCCCACAGACTATCGCCATCTGACGCTGCTTCCTATCTAAATAATTATAGATAATATTATATTAAAACGTGCCGAGACCCAAACAGATAATACAGTTTAGTTTTTTAGTTTTGTACCGATTCATGGAAGCGATATTGAAGAAACCTAATGAACCTATAAGAATACATTGAAGAAATAGTTTTAATTTTGCTCTCCTGTAGTTTTGTGTAAAAGTTTCATACATCCTTTCGGTATTCTTCCTTTTTTACAAAAACGTTTGTATAAAGATATCAAAATGCACTTGGACGTAACGAAGGGTTAAAACGAGTTTGCTAACACGTGGGTCGAAACTTACCTGGCAGCATAGTAAACATGTCAATACTTCAAAATATATCAAAGATGTTTTGATGAGTTATATATATTTTTTAATTATCTTATAGTAATCCTTTAACTGCCCACGCAGTGGAAAATTATGTTGAACTCTACTTTTTTAGTGGCAAATATTATAAAATAATTACCTTCTATACTTTTTAATATAATTCAATTACAATATTACTGTCGTGTAAAAACTATTATTAAATGAAAAAATACATTTTCTTCAAATGTATTATAACAACAGAATACTAATACATTTTGAATTAATTGACAATAGTCCATAGATTTGTCTACAATTTATTTTTAATAGGTAGGTATTTTATACAATTATAATGTAACCGTATATATGTACACTATAATTATAAGTATAATAAGAAAATAATATTATAATAATTCAATGTTTCGATTAAACGAACATGATTAATCTAACCGAACGTTATTTTTATATATGGGAGTTAAAATTAAAAAAATAATTAATAACAAATTAATAGAATCTCAACACATCATACCTAACAAAAAAATAATCTATGAGTATATTTAGTTTAAGTAAATTAATTTTAGTAGGTTGAAAACAATATTTAAATATATAAACAACAAGTATTGTCAGGTACCATCTTGAACGTTATACAAGCGTCGTTTTAAGTTATCTTAATGTGAAGTTCAAATTTCGACCAACAAAATATATCTATTAACTAATCAATTAATTTTTTGTTAGCCAGTTACAAATAAAGTTTCCTTAGAAAATGTGTATTATAGTTATTACAAAAAGAACCGGCTGAATGTTGTTGTGTGTTCTCTTAACGACGACGACGAGACGTGAAAGTGGACAAAAATATCACGGGTGTGTAATAAGGCAACAAAATTGTTTGAATATTAAAACATATGCCAAATAAAGAGTTATATATAGAACGGTTACTTTTCTTTGAACCACATTTTTTTCTACTGAGTTAAAACCACACAAAATACGCTACAGTAAAAATACCACCAAGGAAAATATGAAATAATAATAATACTTATTTTACTGTATTAATTATTGCTAACGTTAGATACTATGAAGAAGGCCAATAATATTAGACTCCAAATTACATGAATGAATGGTAGAAATAAGTTGTAGCGTTAAGCCTTTGAAAGGTATATTTGCTAAAAATCGATGTATAGTAAAAGTACATAATCTTATATCTGATTGAGCGAGCAATAATTCTGCAACAAAATATTATAATGTAAAGAATTTCGATGAAACTGGCCGTTCTAGTTTGATTGCAATTCTCGTATTTACATTGAGAAAACTTGTAATTAAAATCTAAAATTTCGTTTTAATCTCATATTAAACCAGCAATTTAACATAATATTTGATTAATAACTAATAAGTATGAAGCAAAGGCCGTTTGAAATATTTTGGATGCACCACAGAGAATTAAAATTTCACAAAAATATCGAACTAAATTCGAATTAGTGCAAAATCTACTAGATTATTTCATTTGATCCTATTTGTCATATATTAAACACACAAAGATAGTCCACGCTGTACACTTTTTTGGCAACTGGTATGAGTAACGATTGTATGGTATATAACATTAAGGTTGCCAAAATCGGTTATCTATATCATGCGTGTTAATTTATAGCCTAGCACACTATATTTTAAAATATAACACAGCCATAGACAGAAGTGCAATTCCGCTAAAAAAAAGTGAGGGGGCTGATCAGTGATCACCCACCATATTAAAAAGCCCCCACCCCATATAACTTAATGCAGGAAACTAAAACAATTTTAGAGTTGCTAAACACACTCTCAAATTGCGTCTATAGCCATGGACCTTATAAAACCTAAGAATTACAAAACTATAGATGATAAAAAAATGGGTTGATCATTCGTTATCATTAGCATTGCTTTAGACTTCCCCTTCAAGCGCATCGCCTCAAAAAATCATTTTTGGAACACAATTTAAGCTTGCTATTCGAGGTATCTTCTAGGCAATGCTAAATGGTTCACACAATATTATTGAAACAATTAACTGGTTAGGTTAACTTTTTTCTCAATAATTTGAACTGAACGGTGGAATTTACATACAAATAGGTCACCACCGGTGGAGTTTACATGAGCCTAGTGCGCCATATCGACTATGTATTATAATAATTTGTCATTATAACTATTTATTTTTTATACACTAATAATAAATATAATTTTAGCTTACCATCTTACATCTAATAGGTCACTCATAATAGGTCGCTTGGTACTATAGCAGTTAACATTAGGCACCTAAGTTAAGTGGAGAAATGTATTCCTCTACATTTCTTAATAAACGAAACAGAGAGATCTGACATTATTAAAGTATCATTTCCGAGTAGTTGGCGCTAAGCATACGACACATGATTGTTATAGAGATGACGTGTTGAGCGCATGACATTCATATTTTGTAACATGATATCTAGTCGCTATTCTAATTGACGGCGCGGTTTAGGATGTGTCCCCTTTTATTTTATATTGGCTGCACGTTTCAACCGTGTTAGTATAGTATATACGTATTTTTTTATTATGGACGTCTTAGTATTTTAACATACGGCATGTGCGCACTCGGTAGACTTTGCCAGGTTACAGCGCAGCGCAGTATAGTATAGTAGCACTGAGCAATATTGGTTATCCTCGCTTAATTAATTACAGTAATTTATTATGTTAATTAATCAATAATACGGGTTTTCAAAATATTTTACTGTTACACGGCATGGCGCTTGTTATGTCTTATTATTTCTATGATACCCAAAAACATAAAATATAGAACTATTATACATAAGCGGTTATTCCTAAATATCCAAATAGCAAAAAACATTTGAGAACGATACTTAATAGCAAAAAGAACGGATCAGCTTGATTTTTGATAAAACTGTAAAAATAAATATAGATAAAATAGAAAAACTTATCAACAAGACAATCTATCTGTAAGGCCTAAGTATTGGAACACTATTGAAAAACAAGGACAAACCAGAGAGCAAAGATAATTTTAGCCATATTCCTAACTACAGTTATTAAACAATTTAATAGGAATAAGTAAATATTATAAAATAAATGTACCATATCACACACAATTTGTCCCGTTTTATCAATAGCAGTTTAAGAAACCAAAATGATAAAACAGCAATTTATCTTATTTTTTATACTTAGATAGTAAACATCTATAGGCACTGGACTTTGTTAATTTTATATTCTTCTTTAATTAGAACAAACATTTTATTTTTTTATTGATAATTATTTTAAATACTTTTATTACAATCTTAAAATTTAACTTATTTGGTTTCTTTTTATACATTTTTATTTGTTATGATATTATATAGGCTTCACTGGTCTATGAATAATCAAATTTCCTTGCAAAGCAATATTGATTGTCAATTTTAAGATAAAAAAATAATACAACTTCAGTATTATTATCACTACTATTATTAAATTATTGCAACACTAAAGTTGTTTGTTAACTATTGGTCGTTCATCTATAGTATAGTGATACTAAACTTCCATTCAATAACAAGTACTATAAAACCGAAAATCTACTTTATAGCGTTTAGCGCTATTATACACTAGCGTAAAGCGTACACTTAAGTATCATAAGTTGTCTGATGAGAGAGTGCTCGTTGACTGGTGTCCAACTTTTGACAAAAACATTCGCGTTATATTTCATAAGAAAAACATAAGAAGGGATACTTATTATACTATATCGTCAACTATTATCTGCCACGCTGATTTCTATTACTTTGTGC